CTCGATGAAGTAAGAATGACTTCCTGCTCATAGCAATTAGCTATTTACGAGTGTCAGATCCGAATTTCGATCTTATTAGCTCTCATCAGTGTGATATCTAATGGCGAATGATAAAAAACGAGCACGAACTTGCGACTTGGCGAATGACGATGAGTAGATCATTCTCGTGCCACTAGGCTTAAAGGTTTTACCGTTAGAGTGTGCTTTCGGGAAAGACATATGGTAGTTGCTGACTTAGCAGAATATGTCTAGTCCCATCTAATCACATAGGAGAATAGGTAATAACATTGTAACAGCTTTCCTGGTCAGAACACAAGCCGAAATGCTCGCGCCTCGTGATTCGCCATTAGATATGTGACACTGATCAGATTTTTAATAAGATCGAAATCAGGATGTGACTTCTAAATGGTGAATGAGGAAGAAATCATTCTCGCTTCATTGAGCTTAACGGGTTTACCTTTAGAGTGTGCTTTCAGAAAGGACATTTGGTAGAAAGGTCATTTTGTCGGACCTATCAGAATATATTTAGTTCATTTTATTCACACTAGAGGGCGACACCTTTTAGGCTTAAATACACTCTATACTTGCAAAAAAATGTTTTTATTTCGACATTTTGAGAACTACGCCTAGTCTAAAGTTATACACCTTAAGTTATGACAAAATGGATAGATAATTACGGACGACTGCAATTCATTCTTCTCCAATTCTCCGATTGCCGTTTTTCAATCTCTGCCAAAAGGGCGATGCGGAGAGGGTCATAAAATTAGATTTTATTAATCTAGAGGCATGTGAAATATTGCAATTTAATTGGCTTTTACCCGCCTCGAGAGTCTCCAATTCTATTACCCGTAATTGCAGCTACATATTCCGGCGTTAAATTGACAAAGTATAAGTTTATTACTTTAATCAGGTATATTTTTAATTGCTCCAATAAGGAAGGAAGACACCGAAAATAATTGTTACATATCCAGATAGGTATGCATAAAAAGCTATAGCCCATAAAGTTCAAAAACAATGTAATCGTATTATATTTAAATTAAGCGAGTATCCTGCTTTAGGAGGCCTAAAAAAAGCGTTTTTGTGGTAATTTTTTAGGACAGAAAAAAATAAGCAAGTCTAACGAACTTTTCAGATTATTTTATTGCATATTTGAACATTTAAAAAAAAATTCGAGAGAAAAATATTCAAATGCAGCCGATTTTTATGCACATTTGTGCAACACCTTGTAATTGCAGTCTCCAATCGGCGGGAAAGATGGAGCTCGTAATTTTCGCCTGACAAAAAAAGAACAAAGAAAATTTTAGTTTTCATGTATTTTTCTTCTAGATGAACTAAGAAAAACCAAAAAAATTGTGAAATTTAAAATCTTTCTCAGGTTTGAAAAAAGTGCTTTTAAAACAAAAAAAATAATTTCAACTTGCTTAAAAAATTGTTTAATTTTTTTTCGTATAATCTTTTTAGTTCAAATAGAAGAGAATGCAAAACTGAAGCTAACAAGCCTTGGTTTGTTTTAATTGAACGTCTAGTTTTCTTGCGATCTCGCCCACCAGTTTAGAAAAATCATAAAAATAAAAACTCGAGAAAACGCGCTTTACCGTTTACCGTTGAGAGGACCGGTCTTATTCCCTCACTACCTTCGATGCGTCTGCGGTTGCTTCTTATCTGTCGTCTCACTTCTGTTTATCCTTTTTCATAACAGGCCGATGTCGGCTTTACACACACGGTATAGTTCAGAGTTATTCGACCGCGAGAAGGAGCGCGCGCTCCAAGCTCCAACTGCCCGAGCGCCCGTATAACGGCTCGACACACCACTGCGTTTAGTGCTATATCTATAAAACTATTGCAAACTAGCCTCTATAACTTTAGATACATATTCTTATATATATTAGGAGTAGGTTTAAGCAATAAAAAAAAATGATTTATTGAGCCTCCTAATGCAGGATTCCCCCCTTAAATGTAATACGATACTTTATTTTTATTAGTTAGTTACATGTGATTGACTTTTTGGTATACTTCAGATATAAAAAAAAACTGTAAATACAGTGAGAGTAAAAAGTAAGGAAAGGTGCTTGTATTGCTTGAAATATTTGTTATTTTCAAAAAATGTTTTAACAAAAGGTTTCTGGGGTTTTTTTTTGCTATAAATTGACAGCTTTGGATTGTTCTTAATATAAACAAGTTTGTTGCCATGACAGCCGAATTTATTTTTTTGAACGGCATGGTATGGATTTTCTTTGTGTTTTGGAAAAGACGTCTTTTCCTGGATACGGGACCATACAATTATAATATGATTTCACAAGAAAAAAATAACTTTCCCAAAAGTTACCCCCCCGCGGTTCGACTTCGTTAATCCAATTCTTATCAAGTCGGCCATGGAAATAAGTTGATGACATTTGTAGCTCTCAACTAGAGACACAGTTCGCTGTCAGTTATCTGCATTTCGTCAACCTTGTAAATAGTTAAAGATAGGAAAACGCAACAATTTTGTAGTTTAATAATAATTGTTAGGGCAGCATTAAACGAAAATCAAATAATTGAAATTTTAATGATGGTGGGCTATGGTGACAGAAACGCACTTATAAAGAAGTGTACACCCTATTTCGTGAACTTTTCCCGAATCGGCCACAAATTAATGAAGGGTACCTTTCATAATTATTAAACTAAAACCAAAAACAGCTGCAGCCAGCAACAACGCATTAGATGCCCTGATATCATCGAGCGCAAGAAAATCGGCATTTATCTACAAGAAAAGTTGGTAGACTACATAATCGCCCACTACGTTCCACCCATATAAAGTACCCAGTTTTTTTCTTCTGAAATCCTATTATAATTGATGGTTCCGTATCCAGGAAGAGATGCTCCTTCCAAAAATACAAAGAAAATTATACCATGCCATTCAAAAAAAGTCGGTTGTCATAGCAACAAACTTGTTTACGTTAAGAAAAATCGAAAGCTGCCAATTTATGGCAAAAAATATGATCGAAAACTTTTATTAAAACATTTTTTTGAAAATATCAAATATTTCAAGAAATATAAGCACCTTTCCTTACTTCTTACTCTCACTGTATAAAGATAGGTGTTCATTTTTTCGTCGAAATAAATTTAAAAGCTCGGTAAGAGACCTTTAATATAATTCGTGGTATTATTTTATGCTTTATTATTTAGTCTATCCTCTTCTTTTCCGCCATTTACCTCCAGTTAAACGAGTTAGGTAATTACTCGAAAGAAAAGAGAAACGAACTATTAGGTATATTATTTTTTTTGTCCCATAGAATCGCATATATGTACTTTATTCTTAATCACAAATGAATATATATTATTTCAATGTGTTATACAACTACAACATACCGTGCTTGTATGGTGTCTAAAAGAAACGTAAATGTATGTTAATGTAAACCAATGGCTCAACGACCTGCGAAATTTACCCAGCGCATCCGGCAGAAATTAAACTGCGATCCATTCCCGTGTATGTTCAGGTTCATCACGAGATGGGCCATTCCGCGGTGACGAGTGTTACATTTGTACTCATTCTAACTGTTATAATTCCTAAATTAGAACAAAATTGTCTGCGTTTTGAGTATAATTCAATTAATTTCAATGATATTTTAATTAAAACAGAAACGTATTAGGAATTACTCAGGCGTTTAGATGCAATAATAGGTTTAAGCCCTGTGATGGATGTTACTTGTACTTTTACAAAATATGCTACCTTGTTGGCTAAACATCGGAGTTCAGCAAAATTAGAAGTTTCTGTAACAAAATGAATAGCTAAGTAGAGTGATAAATGATCTTCATTTCTGATAATTGTTAAGAGATTTGTCGATATAGTTTTTTGCATTTTTTATTGCAAGCAAAACTTGTGACGGGTGTTACAAGATTTGTGAAGGGTGTTACGAGTGCAAATTAAAGCTTATGTACACTTTGAGGCTTTATTTATTAATATAGACTATTAAAATTAGTATTACAAGATTTTAGATATTTTCTGTTCTATAATTTTTATTGTTTTTTCGGGTTTCCTTTTGCTTCTTCTGTTCTTTTCTATGTCTTGCGTTTCTCATATGTTTATCGGCGAAAATATTGATGAATTTCTTTTGAATTATGAAAATTGAGAATCTAATACCTGTTAATTTTCTATTTTAAAATATATTCGTAAATTATTTTTTTTTGCTCCTTGGTATCGATTACCGCGGAATGGCCCAGATGTAAGACCCACGGAAAAGTCTATAAATCTACACAGATAAATACATATCTGTGAATGTTAGATAATCCATGAATGTTAGATGTGCTATTTTAGTAATATATCTTTAGTAATATGTACAAAAATGCTCGGAGAGATCAATTTTTTGTGAAAAAATATATTGTCACCTTATCGTATAAGTTGACATGAAGAGAAAACAATTATCTATAATCAGGATATTACAGAGGATACAAATATAAGCAACTTTATACGTCTCCCTAAATGCGACTGTTAAACTTCACGTCGTTTTTCTTCCAGCGGCAGCTGGCATTTGAAATTCTCGTATTTTCGTAAGGAAGCATGGGACACACGCCAAATATTAGGGGGTTATTATTAGATCCAAATGGAAAGCTAGAATAACAAAAAAACTTAAAAGAAACACGTATACCTAAATTTTAATTTCTGTGCTCTCAGAAAATCTTGGAAACGGCTTGAAAAATATTTGTGAACTATTTTTTCATCTTTGTCATCTATATATAAAAACTTTATTCTTATGGTTTTTGTAAATTTTTTATTTCTCTTTCTAAGAAAGTGCCGCACACCGCTATGAAATAAAAATTCAAATTTTCATCAACATTAACAGATATCGAAATTTTGAAAAATACAGGAGAATAAAAATGGGTATAAAGTTTTTAAATAAATAATAAATAAATCACACCACAGAAATTGACATTCTCCCTCTAAGTCAATACGACTGTGCAGAGGGAGAATACACATGGAAAAGACGTAGGACACACAACCAAATCATGTGACAGGTGCCAATTGCCACAGGCGGGATCCGAACCCGCGCACTCCGCGCAGATAATAGCCCTTGGAGTAATCGCCATCTTCTCACCTGGCGCTTTACCCACTGAGCTATCGTCGCTATCGGTTTACTTATGATTAATAACACAAATATATAACATTAAAAAAAAACAAATATTTTGCAGCGCGTTACCAAGATTCTCTGGTGGGGCAGATATTCTTTGGAATATTTTTTTAGGAAAGTTTCGTTAGGCAGTTTTTTTTACTTTACAGAACTTTCTCCTTTACATTTTTAACAGAGACTTAAGTATGCATTTAACGAAATACTAGAAAATTGATTTTTTTGAAATATCTAGATAGCTGTAATTTTTTTAGAAAACCAAACAAAGCTTTAAATTGCTCTCATAAAACTGCACATCTTTTCCCATTAACCGTCTCTAATTCCGCTAGTTTTCGAGATTTCTATACCAAACATCGAAAAGAACTCACTCTGTGGAGCAATGAAGTCCTCTCCTATTGATGCCCTACATGTAGAAGCTTTAGAACCTCCTCTTTCGATAAGAAGGGAATTTATAAGTGGCAAATTCCTCATAAAACACGTATTCTTCTCTACAACTTTACTAACTAACATAGCACACTTAAATAGTTTTGATTTAAGCAACAAATATTGGATCAAGAAAACCTCCCCTCCTCTTTGTTCAGTCTTCAGGGATAATAGTGAGATGCTGCAAACTATTGATTATCCAATCATATCTGAAATCAATTATTTTTGCCTATACACTGACGTAACCATTGTTATACCAAACTATACAGAAAACCCTTGCATTAGCTCAAATGTGTTAAGATACGTGCTTCATCAATTCGATAAACCAGATGTTATCTATACAGATGCCTCAAAATCTAGATCTGGCACCGGTGGAGCTTTTATTGTTCCGTCGCAAGAAATAGAGTTCAAACTTAAGCTCAACTCTAACTGTTCTATCTTCGCCGCAGAAGCAATAGCAATTTATCAAGCACTTAAATATGTTGAGACGTCTACTTCCTGTGTATCAATTATTTTATCGGATTCACTCTCCGTTCTCAAGAGTATTAAAAACACTCAGTCTTTTGGCTACAAAATCAACCCCGTTATTTATAGAATAAAACAGTTAATATATCAAATTAAACTATCTGGAAGAGAAGTTAACTTTGTTTGGGTGAAGGCCCATATTGGTCTTAAATACAATGAACAGGTTGATCTACTGGCTAAGGAAAGTTGTATATCAGGATCCCCCAAAATGAACAAGTATGTGTAAATGATGCATCCAACATGTTGAAAAAAAAGGTCGAGCAAAAAATGGAATTATTTATGGAAACAATTTTGTTTCACTAATCCTACAAGGTACACATTAATACACAGTGACATCCCAAAGAAATTTTGGCACGATGACTTCGCTTTTCCGAGAAGGTATATTACAACCTTGATACGTTTAAAACTTGGCCATGCTTGCTATCCAGCCCATTTATTCAAAATTGGAATCTTCAGTTCAGAAAATTGTGAACACTGTGATGTTTTAGGAGATCTCGATCACGTCTTCTTTGGCTGTGAAAAATACAAAGATGCGTCCTCTAAGCTGGTAGAAAATGTACTAAACTGTAATATCGCTGCTCCCTTCAACTTACTGCACCTTTTAACAACTGATTCAAGGAAAGTGTATAGCTGCATCATGAACTTTATAACGGAAACTGAAATTAAGCTCTAGGTTAATCTTAATCTCGAATCCCTATGTCTTTACTTGTGTTGTTCTCCCTATTTACCGAGGTCTCCTCTGTAGTGTCTAATGTATAAAATCATCCTGATCGACCCCAGGATGTGAAGAGTGTGTCCCCGTCTTTCCTTATCGTTTTTATAAATTTTTGGGTTTTGTTGGTGTTTCTATAGAATTATGTTAGGTTAGGTTTTATTAGGTTAGGTTTTAAATTGGTTGATTAAATTTCCTCTTGTGACTGGCTGCATGGTATAGGACCTAAAGCCAAAAAAAAAAAAAAAACACTGTATATGCATGCATCTTAATTATTTTTTTTTATCTTAATCTTAATGATTAGAGAAGATGTTAGGGGATGAGATTAGTTGTAGAAGATAGAAGATTAGTTGTAGAAGATATGTAGAAGCCAGTCAGGCTTCTAAATAGATACGATTTTTTCTTCCTTAAGAGAAATAAATTAAAAATTAAGTACTTAATGTAATATGTTAAGTTCAGCTTTTTTTACCTTTACTGCTACTGTTTCAGAATAGTTATTTAAATTTGCAACAAGTGTATAGAGTGACCTTTTTTTTACGCGAATTTTTTACGTAAAAAAAAAAACAAACTACAGGGTGCTAAAGTTGATTTTTTTATTGGTTATATTGAAATAATTTAGTAACCGCTTATTTAGGTAATATTGATGAAATATTAGTAGTAGCTTTTTCTTAGGGTAAATGATTATTTTCACGAAAATGGCGAATTTATCATGTTTATTGCCGAAATCAAAAAAAAAAAAATGAAGAAATGCCAGTGCATTCTTTGAGTGATTTTAAGAACTTTTTATTCTTGACAATTTCTTGTAAAAGTGCATCATTTTCCAATAAAAAATTCTTGAATTTTTACGCAAATATTTTGCAGTTCAGGCGCCATTTTGAATGCGTAAGGCAAAAAATCGATCTTTAAACCATGCATATTTAAAGTTCAAACATTTATTCCACCGGTTAGTGAGGTTCCAGGTCTATTATAAACTAGAAACCCCTTGAAAATTCAATTAAAAAATAATATGGAAAAAATCGTGTTTTTTTTAAACTGCTCTTTTTCATAATTAATTTTTTTTTTGGAGGAATTTCATGGACACCATCGGAAAGGGCACGTCTTAAATTTCAAAAATTTAGAAGTCAAATTTTTCTGTCGCAAATATAGACATCCAAAAAAAACGTCATCAAAGTTGGCCGAGAAAAAAAAGACGTATTTCTATTCTTGATCGAATTTATAACCTTATTTACTTGTCAAGACTGTCAAATCATATGACAGCCATTGTTTATTTTACAAATTGTGACAGTCACTTGTCAAAAGTTTGACATAACCGAAAAGCTTAGACACGACCGCTATTTCCATCTCTCTCGTTCATAGCCAGAGTTGATGACGTTTTTTTTGGATGTCTCTATAGTAATTATGAGGCGCTGAAGAGCGATGTACCGGGGGAGTGGCGTTTTCGGCCGAAACGGGTTAAGAAGACAGCAATATCATAAAATAAACACAATAATTTAGAGTATATGATTTTTCAGTTAATCTGTAACGCAATGTCATCAGTAATCAGTTTTAGCAGAAACGCCATCGGCCAACGCAATTAAAATTTTTTACCGAAGCGAAACCCGGCACATTTCCGGGTGCGCTTCCAGGGAACGCAGTCGCCTCTCCGAATTCGTTCTCTTCTCCTATATAGAGAGGTACGGCTATGTACATACAGAACTGTACGCCAGTGTTCTCGGAAGAATGTTAATGGCGATCTTGCATTGGTCACTGGTCACGGTATTCGGTCCCGTTGTTTGTCCGGGGTTATACATTCCTCGGCAGCGCGACAATAATATTCCGGTCGCGGCAGACAGGCTGCATATTAGTTGGGCAATTATCCGGATTTTTGCATACTTCTGGTTCGCGCACCTGCCGCCAGCGATCGCCGAATCGCCCGAATCGCCGCCGTCGACGTAGCGGAGGCATCGATTGGCGAAATGACGGTCGCCCCGGAAGAGGCCTCCGTCTTCGCGGACACGAAACGGGGACACGCCACGGCGGTAAACAACAAGAAATATTACAAAGCACCGATCTACATAAGCCTCTCAATACCATTGCAGGACCAGAATCTTACAAAATGGCCACCATTCAAAGTTCTTGAAACATATAGGGCTACTTTTGACGGTTCCCTATGTATTTTTTTTTGCGTAGAATACAATGCGCGGGGTCCGTAGAGCTGAAACCGTCCGCTAATTTTTTTAAATTAACAATTTGTGAAAAAAAAAACGTTTTTTTTTCTTCACATTTTCGCTTATATATCTCCGTTCCTTGCCATATTTTATATAACATATTTATGCATGTAAGAAGCTGTAGCCTATTGAATTTCCAAAATTTGAAGCCCAAACCAAAGTCTCCAAGTGCTATTTTTAACTTGCAAATGACTGCTGAAATTGAAAAAGTACTTTTTTTTCTCTATTTTTTTTACTTCGAAAGTAGGGCGACTATGATCATGAAATTTCTTGGTGGGACTACTATTTGTAGTATGAAGTTACAAAAAAAAATCAGCTCGATCCGTTACTAACTTTTCGAGTAATTAAGGGGGTCCTCTAGTTTCTCGGGTCGAAAAAATCGATTTTTTTTCATAAATCACATCTACAACGTAGGAATGTGTAGAAAATGTGTGCCAAAGGAATTTTCGATATTCGAAGTGGTTAACAAGTTACGGCCCTGGAATGGAGCAGGTATACGGAGCGCGCGCAACGCTGCTCCGCAAAGCCAAGCGGCGCTGACCATTATATTGAATCGCGAAAAGGGAAGACGGAGCAGCTCTGCGTGACTTCCAAGAAGAAGAGGAAGGCCTACTGTATGGTCCAGGCATAGCAGATTGACGGTGAGTTATATAGTGGGTACATCTTATTAGATGTAACATAAGAATTGACAAAGCATTCGAAACAAATGTTGAAAATATGAAAATTAACACCACCAACAAGTATAAAACAAATGCACACTGTTTGATAAGAACGTGTCCAGCAGGACTTTTACATGAAAATCGACATTTTCTTATTATTTTTTCGAAAGTTTTCTTCTTCTTCCTTCAACCTTCTATTTATTACCCCGCAAAATATAATGTGGGTCCCGTGCTTCGTTACGAAAATATTATATATCAAATTCCACAAGACACCACTGATTTCTATCCGGTACAGAGTCGACTTCAGTGTTTATGATTTTCAATTCTCAAAGTGAACGACAATTGTTTTTTTAATACAGTACATCTTAAAAGGTGCGTACAAACCTGCAAACGCATGCGGTGAGAAGCTACGCATACACATACGTATGCAAATCTGGACGGCGTTTGCGTGGCCTCTCGCCGCATGCGTTACCT